CTTTTTTGGCATTGCCGGGGGGTTTTCTTTGCCATGAGACCTGAGCTTCGTGACCTAATAAATAAAGAAGAAATAAATTTTAAAAATTGGCGTTAGAAAATGAGCGTATTTATACCCCAGCCAAGTGGGTTTGTGATGGCTTGAGTCGCCGCCAGGGTACCTAATTGCAAGAATGCAATTATTACGGCAATTGTGTTTGGAGTCCATTGCATCTGATGCAGGTCCACGGACGAGAGGGGCTTGTTTCAAATCGTGTTCGTGGAGGAAAGTGACCATATCCTCTCCTATTGCTGCTCTGCCACTGTCATCGTCCATAAAATGTCCAGACGTCGTGGCGGAGGTAATTCACGACCTTGGAATAATCGATGGCTCTGGAGCTTTTTATGCTTGCGCAGTTTGCCTGTTACAAGGCCCTGACCATATCTTCCTCTCAACAGTGCAGGCTGGATGTTTAGGGAAGTCCATGTATTTTACTAAAAGTCAGGAACACGCGCGGCGGCATTGGAAGAGTCAGGAAATACTCAAGTCCGGCAACGGTCAAATCAGCCATAGCAGATATCCATTGAGTAAGTTGATTCTTCTGGCTGAGTCTCAGGGCGTTATGGCACACCCGCACTACCACAATATGATACTCAAACAGTGCGTCTTGTACTCTCTTGGATTCTGGATACACCGTTGGTGATTGCCGAAAGCTGGGCCTTCTTGTCGCGGCGACAGCACTAGGCGAATTAGGGGTTGGATTGGGGTATTGTGGCTCTGCATGCTAAGCATAGTGGATGGTACCAGGAAGAACGGACAGAATATGAAGGAGATGGAGATTCTAAGTAGTGGTGGACTCACTCGGTGTCCCAAGAATTGCATAGATGAGCTGTCGCGGGAGGTGAAAGCATCGATATGATTGCGAGGAGGAATAATACAGCCGGGCCATGGATCATGGTGTACGAAGGGCAGCGATTTGTTCGGCGGCTTGACTGTTGACAAGCCTGCCGGTTATTCCAGGTTCATCACCAGCAGTCGACTGTTCTGCTGCAGTCTCTGGGACGGACCTGCGGCGGCGAGGAGGGGCCCAAGGTTTGAGATGGACCGTGCCGGCGGAGGGGGTGTTTTTAGTATAGTGCTAGTATAGCCCTAATATTATATTAATTATAAATATTATTATAATATTATATTAAGATAAAATATAGTACTAATACTATATTTAAATTAATATATCTTATTTTTAAATATATATATTTAG